GTTCCTCTTAACCCCTAGGCTTCATGGATCCTCCAGAAGCCTTTGCATTTGGGTCCCCCTTCGCAAGTGGCCTTGGGTAATCACACAGCTGTGCTGAGCCTGTTTGTGCACCTGTCGTTGGAGAAGGACAACCTCTCCCACCGCACCTGTCTCAGATGGGATGCTGGCTTTGCAGGTGGCTTAACCCACTGCACCATAATGCCCCCCCCATTGCCAATTTTAAATATTACCCTCCCTGAAAAACAAATTCCAGAACTATACATGTAGAATTATCCGAGTTGTACCTGACTCTACAAGGCCGCTTCAAAGACTTCATGGAAATGAAATCGCAAAATAATTTTCTGAAGAAGTTTTGAAGTCCAGACAGGTTTTTCATGATATGCATTTTCCATGAACTTTGAAGACCCCTCATGTAGATGCATAGCTTAAATAAAAATAGAAAACTGCCTTGGGTGAGGGTGGGAGGTTTGTTCTGGTTTGGTTCTGGAGAGAGAGCAGGAGCACTCCCATCCACTGGCTCACTCCTCAAATGCTTGCAATGGCCAGGAGGCTGAAATTCAATCTAGGTCTCCCACCTGGATGGCAAGTGCCCAATTACTTGAGCTATTTACTGCCACCCACCCCCCCCCCACACACACACACACTTACACACACAGGGTCTATATGAGCAGGAAGCTGGGTTGAGGAGCCAGAGCAGATGTCAGACCCTGACACCCCATTATCAGACATAGGAGTCTTAATGACCAGCCAAATGCCAGCCCCTCCCTGGGAGTTTATACAAGAAATGATTTATGGGAGTCACCCCTGGGAAGCAGTATTAGGAGTTTTTACTTTTTTTTTTTAAAGAAGTACCAAGTTAGTCAAGGACAGGCATCCTATCACTAAGAGACATTTATGCTGTCTTTTACAAAAGAAGAAATAACTGTACTTAGGCTTGTATTCAAGGCCACCGAAACAAATTGGAATAATTTGAGCTGCCTACTACTGGCACAATATGTGAGCACAATGTGGTAATTTTTATGGTAATTGAGCATGACTTCCATCTTAGGAAGTCATAAGTTAGGAATTTTTTTTTTCAGTTCATTCTTTTGATATAAAAAAGTAAAGATTGAAAGACATTTTTTTAAAGCTAAAGAGTAAAAAACTATTTGACCCAAATGTCTCAGTTGTCTACTGTATGTGGGCTGCCCCACTGGAAGTAAGGACCAGGTCCTGGTCACCTGGTGTCCTTATTGTGAGCCCATAACCAAGGTTGCCTAATTGACTGAAACATCTCGGTAATAGGCACTCAAGAAATCCACGCTCTGGGGGGATCAGCCACCATCAAGGTATGTATGTCCTCTGAGAAGGCATAGCACCCAGCTCCCAGAGTATCCCTGACTGCTAAACAGAGATCACCTTTTAAATACACCTTTTAAATACCTTTTGAATACTGTGCAGGTAGATTTTTTAAAATTCCAGGACATTCCGTGTCTATAGAGTCAAGCAAATAGAAATCCCAGTTGTGGCAATACAGTCTATTTTCATTTTAATGATTTTCCATCTCTCTCCTTCCTGTCAATCACTTGACATTTATACTAGGCCATTTTTTTCTCATGTATCATTTTGGAGTCACTTATATAATTATCTGACTGAACACTTAATACAGACAGTTCTGTCTTTTCACATCCAAAAGAGGAGAAGGGAAGAAACAAAGTAATAAAGAGCTTATTTGAGGCCCGCACCGAAGCTCACTGGGCTGCTCCTCCACCTGCGGTGCCGGGCGGGTGTTAGTCCCAGTTGGGGCACTGGTTCTGTCCCAGTTGCTCCTCTTCCAGGCCAGCTCTCTGCTGTGGCCCGGGAGGGCAGTGGAGGATGGCCCAGGTGCTTGGGCCCCTGTTCCCATGTAGGAGACCAGTAGGAGGCACCTGGCTCCTGGCTTCAGATCAGCGCAGCGCCGGCCGTGGTGGCCATTTTGGGGGGTGAACCAACGGAAGGAAGACCTTTCTCTCTGTCTCTCTCTCACTGTCTAACTCTGCCTGTCAAAAAAAAAAAAAGCTTATTTGAGCAAACAGTGCTCTATGAATTGGGCTGGTCCAAACCATAATTGGTTCACAAGATCCACCAATGGAACACAAGGTGGGGGTGGCTGTTGTGCAATGAACACAGATGTAGAATACAGAAAATACTTGGTTACAATTCTACCTTGCCCTATTTGGTCTGTCCCATTAGAAAGTTTCTAAAAATGTTTACTTCCGAGTGCTTGACCTTAAGCTCTACTGTTGTTGTTTCTCTTTAATATAGATACTTAAAAGAAATAGCTCTTTAAGTTTTTTTCTTTCCTTTTTTGAAAAGCAAGGTTTGGGTCACTGGTGAGGTCTATCCAGCTTTGTCTACTCAGGGATTCTTCAGTCCCAATTTCCATTTTAATTTGCCTTACAGTTGTTAACCAATGCAGGTTCCTTTGGCTGTTGCATTTTTTAAACAAGATGTGATATAAATCAGCCGTTAGGGGAGGAAGAGCTGCATAGAAGAACTTCTCCACTCCAGATCGTGAACTGCAGGAACAAAATGAAAGTGCATAAAATACTGTTTCTTTTCTGAACCTAGATAAAAATAGGTGATTTATTCAATAGGAAGGAGTAGTGGATTCGAATAGAAATAAGAAAATAAGATATTTCATAAACACAACTTATACTTAATCTTTTGATTAAGTAGAAGTCATAATTCTATTACTTTATGAAGCAGAGTTTTTAATAACTTTTACTCATCCAAGAATACTCTTACTTCTCAATGGCTGGTTTTAAGCATGGAGTGTTTTCTCTTTACTGGTCTTCAGTGCATGTTCATAAAGGCTCTCGAGAGAACTCACAGTTAACTCCAGGTCACCCCAAATCACAAATGAGCTGGACGAATTGTTTTCCTGAAGGGCAAAAGCCTGTGCGTTTCAGCCTTTGTTTAAGAATCCGTTGATGTAACGGACGAGGAAGTACAGTTTATGCCTCCTTGGGTATTTTTAGCAGGAGGCCTCTGTGGAGGGCACACAGATAGTCAACAGAGGTCACCACTGACCCTGGCCTAGAGCCACAGGGCAACTGCCCAGGCTGCCTGCGTTCTTTTCTCCTGTGCGTGGAGCTGACTCCCGTCCAGGGACTACGGTTACTTCTGTAACAGTTCTTTATTGGGGGAGAACTGGATGTGAACAGATAAGGTCTTGTTAACACAATTCCACGTGGTGCTTTCTCAGCAGGAGGGGTTTTGTGTTAAGAGTAGACTTGTTCATACACAGGTCAGGCAGTCCCTGGGCTCGGGGGCTTCTGTGTGGTTTCTGGCCTGGTGCTGCTTATCCCAAGTAAGTAACCGCAATTCTTGGAAGTGGCTGGTGCATCATGGGAAAGGGACATGGGAATCTGCTGGGTGAACTTTGTTCTCCCATTTGAAAGCAATAAATTGGAAATAGAGGAAAGACATTTCACACTTCCTGGAGTTTAAGATCTGAGCTGATTTTGACTCCCAGTTTGGTGATGATCGGGATGACCCCAGGATGCACGTTCTGATCCCCTGCAGCCAGGAGATGCAACTCCTGGAACCACGCGCATCTCACCCTGTCTTTGTCAGTCCTCGTCTTTCATCATCTAAAGATTAATAGGGGAGAGTTAGATTTTAAAACTGTATTTACTATTTATTTATTTGAAAGAGTTTCGAAGAGAGAAAAAGGGAGAGTTCTTCCATTTGCCGGTTCATTACCCAGATGGCTGCATTAGCTGGGGCTGGGCCAGGCCAGGGCCAGGCCAGAGCCAGGGGCCAGGAGCTTCATCCAGGTCTCCCACATGGGTGTCAGGGGCCCAAGTACTTGGACCATCTTACATTGCCTTCCGAGCACATTAGCAGGGAGCTGGATCAGGAGTGGAGTTGCAAGGAATTGAACCAATACCCATATGGGATGTCAGTGTCACCTACTGTACCACTACACTGGCCCCAAGTGTTGTATTTTTGTCTGTAAAAAAAAAAAAAAAAAAAGCTCCTGGCTTATGCCTGGCCCATTCCTGGCCTTGGCAAGCATTTGGGGAATGAACCAGCAGATGGGTGATTTCTCTGTCTCTCTCTCTCCATGACTCTGCCTTTCAAATAAATAGAATAAATAGTTTTTTGTGTTTTTTTGTTGTTGTTTTGTTTTGTTTTGTTTTGTTTTTTGACAGGCAGAGTTAGAGAGACAGAGAGAAAGGTCTTCCTTTTCCATTGGTTCGCTGCCCAAATGGCTGCTACGATCCGAAGCCAGGTGCTTCCTCCTGGTCTCCCATGCGGATGCAGGGCTCAAGCACTTGGGCCATCCTCCACTGCCTTCCCGGGCCACAGCAGAGAGCTGGACTGGAAGAGGAGCAACCGGGACTAGAACCCAGGGTACCGGCGCCTCAGGCGGAGGATTAGCCTAGTGAGCCGCAGCGCCAGCCAGAATAAATTGTTTTCAAAAGAGGGGGAAGCTCCCAGCCCAAAGCCAGCTCCCAGGACATGGCCATTTTGCAGGGGTGCTTGGTGTCTGGAGAACAGGAATTTACAAAGCACTCTGGGAGCTGTAGCTTGTACGTGTCCAGAGGTGAAGAGGCCTCGTTCACTTCATCCCTGCTCGCCACCGCCGTCAGCCCAACGGGCTTATCTTTGTTGGCGTTCACCATGATGATTTTATTTAGAAGAAGGGCTTAGAAAATCACTGTTGTATATTGATAGTGTGTTATGGAACCATGGGGGGAAATAAGTGGTCTAAATGTTTAGAAAGTTGATATTTGTCTTTTCTATTCCATTTCTTTGAATAGCAAATGGCAAATTTAAAGAGGTACATTTATATGTGTATGATACTTAGTTATGTAATGCTGTATTGAATTATGTGGTTAATTTGTATCATCAGATGTCCTGTAATCAGCATGCACTGACATGTAATATTTTATATTATCCAATATTTATTAATAATTTTTGTATCATTTACTGATACTTGCTGACATATAATGCTTTGCCCTCTCCTCCAGATGAGCACCATGCCAGGACTGCCCACTCGGCCCTGCTTTTATGATATAGACCTTGATACGGAAACAGAGCAAGTTCAAGGCTTGTTCTAAGTGGACAAGACTCCCACACGTCCCAGAGCAGGTAAGCTGTGGGGTTTTTACTTTTCTTTTCTTTTTTTTTTTTTTTAATAATTGAATTTTCGACAGGCAGAGTTAGACAGTGAGAGAGAGAGAGAGAAAACTCTTCCTTTTTCCATTGGTTCACCCCCTAAGTGGCCGCTACAGCTGGCAGGTTGTTGCTGGCGCACTGCGCCGATCTGAAGCCAGGAGCCAGGTGCTTCTCCTGGTCTCCCATGCGGGTGCAGGGCCCAAGGACCTGGGCCATCCTCCACTGCACTCCCAGGCCACAGCAGAGAGCTGGACTGGAAGAGGAGCAACCGGGACAGAATCGAGCACCCCAACCAGGACTAGAACCCAGGGTACTGGCGCCTCAGGCGGAGGATCAGCCTAGTGAGCCGTGGCGCCGGGCAGTTCTTTTTCTTTTAATCAGTTCCTTTCTGTTCTGTTTTGTTTTGCTGGTCCTTACTACAAAAGTGACCTGGAAAGTGATTTCCTTCCATGGATGCTATGAATTCTTACCTAGTGGCTGCCTTCACTTTGGGGTTCACTCCAGCGTGTGGGCTTGTAGTTAGGTGGTCCATGGTCCATGCAGAGGCTTTCAATGTACTTGAACTTGAGTCCGGCGGGAGTCAAATCACGTCACCTCGGAATATAGATTTGTTTAGAACAGCTCTGGCCACAGCAAGGACCCTGCAAACCAATTATTTCTGTTTCCAGAATTAAAACCAGTATCTGCTATAATTTCCAAAAAGTCACTTCGTCCTTCCTACCACATCTCTCTTGCTACCAAGTTAGAATTACGTGAGAGAGGAATCTCAGTGTATTTGCTTCTTCCGGTTCCCCAAGCAGTTATCATCAACTGAGTTGGCTTCAAACAACAGAAATTTGTTCTGCAGTTGTGAAGGCCACAAGTCCAAAGTCCAAGTGTCGACTGAGCTGTCTTCCCTTTGGGACTCTGGGGAGGCCCCATCCTGGCTTTTTTTTTTTTTTTTTTTTGACAGGCAGAGTGGACAGTGAGAGAGAGACAGAGAGAAAGGTCTTCCTTTGCCGTTAGTTCACCCTCCAATGGCTGCCGCAGCCTGTGCACTGCAGCCGGCGCACCGCACTGATCCGATGGCAGAAGCCAGGTGCTTATCCTGGTCTCCCATGGGGTGCAGGGCCCAAGGACCTGGGCCATCCTCCACTGCACTCCCTGGCCACAGCAGAACCCGGTGTGCCGGCGCCGCAAGGTGGAGGATTAGCCTATTGAGCCGCGGTGCCGGCCTCATCCTGGCTTCTTAGCGTGCCCAGCTTGCAGCTGCATGGCTGCATCCTCTGCTTCTGTGGTCACCTGACTTCCTCTCTGTGTGTCTGACTTCACGTGGCCTCCTGTTCTTATGACACCAGTCAGACTGGACTTGAGCCCAGGCTGATGATCTCATCTCACCTTGATAACTCTGCACAGACCCTGTTCCAAAGTTAGGACTCCAATATCTTGTGGGACAAAGTTCAGCCTGGAATATTCTTCTTGGTGCCAATGATGCATTGAGCTCTCCTGCTGGTGGAAAGACACATAGAGATGGGATGAGTCCTGTAACACAGATGGCCCCATGAGTCATAGAATGGACAGGGCAACAGAATCTGACCACTTGACAACTCTTGATCTGTACAGTTTGAGAGGTTGAGCCTGACTTAGAGCTGTCTCAGACAGCTCAGAGCCGGGATTCCTGGTCTTATTCATGTGTCCCATTCAGCTACAGCCACACCTGCTGGCTTCTGTCCTAACTCCTCATCACAGAGGGAAGTGACCACACTCACAGCCCACATCCCTGGAAAACTCCCAATCAGAAGTTAAAGGCGTAGGCTGCCTTCACCACCCCATATATCAGACATGTCCTCCGAGGTTTCCAAGATACATCCCTTCTTGCAACACGTCCGGTTCCTTCTCCCCATCACTCCTGTAGGTCCATGGCCCTAGCTCGGAGCCCCTCCCTCTTGCCAGCACATTCTGGGCCTTCCAGATGAGCGTGAATGACCTAAATGTCCTTGTCTCCAGTCCTTCCCAGCTTAGGGCCCTATCTCACTCTCATTAGTTTCACTACCAGTAGTCAACGTGAGATTGTGTGTGTGTGTGTGTGTGTGTGTGTGTGTGAATGAAGACCTAGGCTACAGTGAGAAAGGTTAAGGACCCACTTAAATGGAATTATGTGAAAACAAGGTGTGGAATTATTTGTGTTGGGTTATGTGTGTGCAGTGTTTCTTGAGGTATAATAAGTTTTGACCATGTGGTTACCCCTTCATCATTTCTGAAAAATAAAACTCTAGAAAATGAAAAAAGGAGGTTAATTTAACAGAAATACATAAACTTGAGCTTCGATGGCAATATTATTTTGGTCTGTTCTAATGACTTTGTGCATTGCAAATGTCTTGTGTTTCCCAGCTAAGCCTTGGGAAAATAACAATATCATTCCCCTTAAACCAAAAGTTGACCCTTGTCCAAACTAATCTCTCTCTTCATGTCAAGACCTCATTATGCTTAAGTTCTGCCATTTGTCATTTTTCTCCAGAAAAATTCTCTCGTTTCTCTTAGATATTATTTTTCCAAACTTTTAGTCAATTTTCATTTGCTTTCTAAGTAGGTCATATGAGCCTGGTTATACCTTAATTATTGCAGTCCAGATGTAGGTAATGCCAGGGGGTGTGTCATTAGCTTTTATTTATTCGTTTATTATTTTAATCTTTAAGATATTTGTGTTCCTTCAATTTATTGCAAGATTGACCAGGAGCCTGCAGGTCAGGACCTTGGCCTGTGGCACCAAAGCAGCCTTTAGCGTCCAGGGTTTCCACCTCCAGGAATTTGACCCACCGAGTCTGAAAATATTTGGGAAAAAATTCTGGAAGGTTCTAAACAGCAAAATTTCCATTTATGACATACTGAGCACGACACTAAGCCACTGAGAATGAAGTGATGCACACGCATTGTATTCAGTATAAGTAACCTAGAAAAGACTGAATTTCCTTGCTTACACTTTGCATATACAGACTGGATTTTTTTAAAATAGCCATTTCCCCAAAGGAGTGTGTCTTGCTTATTACTGACATTTGGTATGTTTCATTCATTGGAATATTTCTTATTTTCTACATGTTCCAGAAACCTGTGAGATACAGGATTTGATAAACATTTTGAAGGCAAGAAAAATCCAATTGTTCTATGAGAGTCATGACCTTCTGGTGTAGAAAAGTTGCCACTGGAAAATTTAACAAGTTTCATTTTCTCTAGTATGGCTAAAAACTGAATAAAATGTGTTAATAGAAAAAAAAAAAAAAACGACTAGAAGTCGTTGAGAGCATACAGAGGGACTGCGCCAGGCTGTTTTATTGGAGGCATTTGAGCATCCATGCATTTGGTCCTGGAAGCAAGCCCCGTGGATGCCAAGCTCTGCCACGGGGCACTTCGTTCAGCAGTACCTCGGAGGCTCGTGTTCTCCCCTGAGGCTACAAAGGCTTCAGGAGAATCAGTCCGTCCTGGTTCTCACTGAGAGGTGATAGCGCGGGGCGGCCCCGATCCCTGGCACTACAGAGCTGCACTGCCTCTGGTGTTTTTGCTTCCCTGTGTCCGATCATGTTAGCACCAAGCCAGTGGGTATTTTTATTTCAGAGCTGCAAAAGAGCAGCTCAGAGAGATTAACAACATGCTCAAGTTTGCACAGCAAGCAACTACAAAAGCCAAGATTCAAGCCAAATCTGCTTCTCTCTCTCACTCCCATCCTTTATGCCCAAAACCAAAGGATGCCCTTTTAATAAATTTCAATCACAGGCAAAATGACCTTCAGCCCATTCTGAAAAATGGTAGCAGCTATCTGAATGTATATGTATTCGGGGCTAATGGGTGACTTTAAAAAAATTATTTGTATATTAAAAGCTATGACTGTCAATTTTTTCAAAGTTAAATAAGACTGTCTCTACTTATCTCTAATTGCATGGCATTGGCACTTTCCCCGTCTTCACCCAAGGCTGCTTTCTCCTTTGTGCACTGCTAAGCACCATTCTGGGCTCGGTGGGCAGTGGTTCAGAACCCGTCACTGGCCGCTGCTCAGTCAGAAATGGATGCAGTCTCCCAAGATAAAGCCCCTGGACAAAGCAAGTGTCCTCCCTCGGTGACTCCTCTGTCTAATGACCCAGCAAACGTTCTATTTCCTGTCGGGGACCAGCTCCGCTAAAAGCCAAAGGTTTGTGGCTATTAAAAATGCATAAAAGAGAAATGTCAAACCTTGGACGACAGTCAGCTCCGACCAGTCTGGGCACTGGAAGTGGAAATGTCTGGTCTGCTTACTTTGCTCCCATGGGATCAGACTACAGGCAGCTGCATACACTCAGCCACAGCGCACTTTCCTAGAGGCACACGGAGACCTGTCCCCGGGAGAAGACGGTGCCCAGTGCTGACTGCTGCCCTCCTCCTCCTCCTCACTTCCCTGCCTCGCCCTTTAGTCCAGCTGTGAGGCTGGATGTGAGCCAGAGGTGCCAGCAGAGCACCAGCATGTATGCCTGGCTCCCTCATGCCGACACTAACTACCCTGTCGGCTTTCCTAACTGCTGGAATAAGGGCATGATGCATCCTTTCAGATGTTACTAAATAGAACTGATGCAAATAATTTGCTTGTCCCAGTGAAATCCAGCCTCCTGCTCAGTCTCTTATTGAGAGGTGATTGAGTGTGGGGACTTTTTTTTTTTTCTTTTGATCCCTCTTCTGATTTCTCATTCTGAACCTTTATCATAAAAGGGTAACTTCCAAACAGTTATGGGAAAAATAGAACAAAAAGATAAGGATTTTGGGGGGAGGTGTTTTTGGTTTTTTTGTTTGTTTGTTTGTGGTTTTTTTAGATTTATTTGTTTATTTAGAAGCCAGAGAGAGAGAGAGAGAGAGAGAATCTTCCATCTGCTGTTTCACTCCTCAAAGAGTCGCAGTGGCAGGGGCTGGTTCAGGCTGAAGCCAGGAGCCCAGAACTCCATCCAGGTCTCCCATGTAGGTGGCAGGGGCCCAAGTACTTGAGCCATCTTCTGCTGCCCTCCCAGGAGCATTAGCAGGGAGCTGGATTGCAAGTGAAACAGCTAAGAATCAAAGTAGCACCCCGATATGGGATGCTGGCATCATAAACAGTGGCTTAACTCAACTGCGCAACAGTGCTGGCCCCAAGCTGAGTTTATTTTGGTGCAGTTTTCTCATGGCACACACACATTTTGATGAACTATGCATTTTGATGAAATCTATGCATAGATTTCAACATCTTTTGCATCAAAATGAATTTATCTTTTGATTCCTTTCACTATGAACTTTTTTAAAAAGATTTATTTTATTTATTTGAAAGGCAGAGTTACAAAGAGGCAGAGCAAGGCCGGCGCCACGGCTCACTAGGCTAATCCTCCGCCTAGCGGCGCTGGCACACCAGGTTCTAGTCCCAGTGAGGGCGCCGGATTCTGTCCCGGTTGCCCCTCTTCCAGGCCAGCTCTCTGCTGTGGCCAGGGAATGCAGTGGAGGATGGCCCAGGTGCTTGGGCCCTGCACCCCACGGGAGACCAGGAAAAGCACCTGGCTCCTGGCTCCTGCCATCGGATCAGCGCGGTGCGCCGGCTGCAGCCGGCCAAGGCAGCCATTGGAGGGTGAACCAACGGCAAAGGAAGACCTTTCTCTCTGTCTCTCTCTCTCACTGTCCACTCTGCCTGTCAAAAAATAAAAAAATAAAAAAAATAAAAAAAATTAAAAAAAAGAGGCAGAGCAAAGAGAGAGAGAAGTCTTCCATCTGCTGGTTCACTCCCCAGATGGCTGCAACAGCCGGAGCTGCACCAATCTGAAGCCAGGAGCCCCCTGTGGGTCTCCCACAGGAGTGCAGGGGCCCAAGGACCTGGGCCATCTTCCACTGCTTTCCCAGGCCATGGTAGAGAGCTGGTTTAGAAGTGGAGTAGCCAGAACTCGATCCAGTAACCATATGGGATGCTGGCACTGTAGGCGCAGCTTTACCCGCTATGCCACAGCGCCAGCCCCGACGTGAACTTTTTGAAGTAACTGAGTGTTTTCCAGCCTTGGCAGGATTTATTGGAATAAGCACAATAAAGTCTGACAAATTTCCTGAAGAGTTCCCTCACTTCGTTCTGATATGCAGTTGTACTTTGAATGGAATCTGATTTACCCTGGACTTATTATATTTAATTCACACACAGGAAGAAGTAAAATGCCAGTTTGTTTCTTCCCTGTCCTGCCTTTAGTGCAGAAACTTTCAAAGACATGGAATGATCATCAGTTGATCTTGAGCAGGGTGGTCCCAGGCTGCCCTTCTGCAGACGAGGGCTGTGCAAGCCCCAGCATTGCCAGGTGCCCTGGCAGGGCGCCTGGGCTCTGTGACTTTGGCCTTGAAACTTGATCAAAGCAGCTCAAAACGTGTTCATTGCCATTGTGCTCCAAGAACAAGGGCCTTGGTCTTCACCCTGAGACATCCCTGGAGTAGAGCCTGCGCCTCTGCCTTTCCCATTTCCAGGCAGGACCCAACCAGGATGGAAGTTCAAGCTACTTGGATAATCCTCCTTGGCATCTGAAAGGGAATTTATCTTAATGAAAATGGAATCTTGTGAAGCTTGGGTAATAATTGTGAAATTCCTTAATTCCCCATAGAAGAAACTTCTCTGGGCACATTTTGATTTCTTAGGATTTCTGTACCAAAAATCAAATGTTCATATTTGCTAGCCTCAAATATTTTCTCATGGAGGAAACGTCAGAAATTTGCTTCCCCCTGAACAAACAATTCACTCTTTAAAAATATATATTTATTTATTTGAAGGTCAGAGTTACACAGAGAGAAGGAAAGACAGAGAGAGAGAGGTCTGTCTTCTATCCATTGGTTCACCCCCCAATTGGCCACAATAGCCAGAGCTCCACCAATCCAACGCCAGGAGCCAGGAGCTTCTTCCAGGTCTCCCATACAGTGCAGGAGCCCAGGGACTTAGGCCATCTTCCACGGCTTTCCCAGGGCATAGCAGAGAGCTGGATTGGAAGTGGAGCAGCCAGGACTTGAACCAGCGCCCATATGGGATGGCAGCACTGCAGGCAGCAGCTTTAGCCACTACACCACAGCTCTGGCACCACAACTCACTCTGATGTTCTCACCTTAGCTGTTGCACCTGACCTTAGTCATCTGTAATCACACCTTCCAGACTGTTGCCGGCCCTTCACATTCCCTTAAATGTGCCACCACAGACTCTGCAGCCCTGCCTGGCCACCCAGGGTCATCGCCAGCCCACCTCTCCCATCCCCAGGGTCACTGACCCTCTCTGGAGCACCCCTCCCCACAAGCCACTGAAGTGAGAACAGCTGTGGCTACCAGTGGAGGGCGAGAGATGCACCGGGTAAACCTCCCCTCGTGACGTCTGAAATATTTTCATTTTGTTCCTCTTTGTGCTGCCTGTTCTACCCCTGCTGACGCCGCTAGATCAGATGTTCCGGGAGTGCTTGTGGTGCCTCGCCCCCAACCTCATCCCCGTCTTCTGGTTTAGAGCCTCCTCTCTGGCTCCAGCCCTCCACAGCCCGCCAGCCGTCTGCAGCTGAGCCCTCTTGCCCAACAGATAAATCCTTGCACGTATGAACTCAGAGGAAAGGCCACATGCTCGCGTGTACATTTTTCCTGGAATGGGGAACACAGTTTTTTCAGAGACTTGGATGGCGTGTGCGTTTGTAGTTTTTCACAATGAAGTTTGATTACTTCTCTTTCTATGGGATTGCAGGATTCAAGAATGGCAAAGAATCTTAATAATCAAGGAATCTTTCAGGTATTGAAGGTTTAATAACAAGAGAGGCCGGCGCTGTGGCGAAGTAGGTTAATCGGCTTGTGGTGCTGGCATCCCATATGGGCTCTGGTTCTAGTCCCGGCTGCTCCACTTCTGATCCAGCTCTCTGCTATGGCCTGGGAAAGCAGTGGAGGATGGCCCAAGTCCTTGGGCCCCTGCACCCGCGTGGGAGACCAGGAGGAAGCTCCAGGCTCCTGGCTTTGGATCAGATCAGCGCAGCTCCGGCCGTTGCGGCCATTTGGGGAGTGAACCAACGGAAGGAAGACCTTTCCCTCTGTCTCTCTCTCTCTCTCTCTCACTGTAAAAGCAAATCCACTGCATGCTCTCACTCTGAGGGGGAAGCTAAGAAAGTTGATCCCATAGAAGGAGAGAGAACAGTGCTCCGTAGAGGCTGTAAGAGGGAGGTTAAAACGGCTCTGAAACACGGCGAGAAGGGAGGAATCCATCCCAGTGGGAGGGTGGTGATAGATGCGATCAATGTTGTGGAGAAGGAGGTGCTGGTTACCCACACTTGATCGCTGCACATAGTATACATGTATCAGATTGTCTCTCTGGATCCCATCAATTATACAAGTCCTACGTGGCAATCACAAAACACCAGCTGATACAGCCTTCCCAATCTAAAGTCCTAAACACTGTTACTCCCTAAGGCCCCTCAGACTGGAGGTCCCAAATCTGGAGGCCCTAGGGGCTCAGCCACCGGTGCCGGGTGCTGCACGCCATGGTCACAGAGCGGAGCACATGGGCTTCTGCAACCCTCAGAAGCCGATCAGCCTGGTGACCCCAGCCTGCCCGCGGCCTCGGCGTCACTCCGCACTCCTGACTGTCCCTGTGGCCTGCAGCTCCAGGGCTAGAACGCGCGCGCGCGCTGCACCCAAGGAGAGAGAGGCTCCTCAGCCCTGGAAATGTGTGTGTTCTGCTTCCCAGGGCTCCTGCAGCACAGACGCCGCCTGCCTCTTGGCTACAGCTGGAGAAGAAGGCGGCTGTGAAATACACGTGTGACGCAGCGCGGGGGCAGCAGTGGAGCGGACCCAGGATGCCGGATCCCTCTGCAGCGCAGGCCGCGGCCGCCCGCACGTGCATCTGAAGAGCCGAGCTTTCCTGCTGCTGCCAGCTGTGCGTTGTTTCCCGCTGCTTGCACTCGAGGGTGTTTATTTTCTGGGGACTGGGGGATTCAGAGTGGGACCCGAAAGGTAACATTTTGCACTGTGGAGTTTTCTACTTTCTCTTTGAACTGAAAATAAACGTGTATCCAGCAAACGCAGGCGGCAGGCTTTCGTGCCAGACCAAACCCCTCGCTCGAGGTAGCCGTTCTCATGAAGTAGCCGGGGCCGGTCACTGGTGCTCGCTTCCTGGATCATTGGGAATGCGGCCGGAGCTTTACAAGCATGACAAGAAAAATAAGGACATAGAAATAGCTGGTCAGGTGTGAAAGCTGGGGCTGGAGACTTACCAGATTTCTTAGAACAAACTGAGTTGTTTGAGAAGGGTTCAGGAAGTTCTTGGGAAATGGAATTAAAAGGTAACCTGAATTTTTTTTTTTTTTTTTTTTTTTTTTTAAATTTTGAAACCTACAAAGACCAGAGACAGAGTAGATCTTCCATCTACTGGTTCACTCCTCATGTGCCTGCACCAGCCAGGGCTGGACCAGGCCAAAGTCAGGAGCTGAGAGCTCAGTTTGGGTCTCCCCCGTGGGTGGCAGGGACCCAAGTACTTGAGCCATGACCTGCTGCTTCCAGGGTGCCCATTAGCAGAAAGCTGGGGTCAGGAGCAGAGCCAGAACTCAGACCAGACTCTGCAGGATGGGATGCAGGCGTCCCAAGCAGCACTTGACCACTGGGCCAGGAAGAGGACTTCCCCCTGCATTTGGAAGCTCTCTCGAATATCCAGCATATCAGTGACAGTGGCATTTACGTCATTAACGCATAAAACAAATGGGTTTGTGCTTTGTCTCCCGTGAATGAGTGACTCTCAGTGACCATGAAGCTTTCTCAGACCCACAGGGCTAGGAAAAAGCCGCTTGTAAAGGTCAGGCGATTGGCAGATCTTTTCCTTTTGCCCAGCCCTGGATTCGTAGTAGAGAATGTTCTATGGCCTATTCCCCTGTCCTGGGAGTTCCTGACCCTTCTTTGTTTCTGGTTTTTCCTATAATAATATAAAATTATATAAAAGATAAAACAAAACCAGAGATTCAGGAACAAACAAGAAGGGATTGTTCTCCAAGCTGTGTAAGTGAAATAGTCCCCATAAAGATTCAAAATGTCCCTTGGGCACATCCTGCGTGACCCTTCCTGAGGGCGCCTGCCTACACCCCCTCCCCACCAGTGACCTGCTCGTTAACTGCGCCATTTAATTTGTTCCAAAACACCGTTTCTTAACAGCAAGGCCTCCCCATTCAACGGCTGTCTATCCCAAGAATTATTTCACTTGGCAGTTCCAAAGTGTCTCTCCCTGTCCCTGGCCTGCAGTATTACTTCTCCAAATACACAACTAGTATTGTCAATATACAAGTCTATTTGAAGAGTATAAACATCACCACTACATTTGCTCTCTACTTCATATACTTAGAAACTATTTTTTCTTGTGAATTAATTTTTTTCCTAAGATTTATTTATTTGAAATCAGAGTGGCAGAGAGAGCAACCTTTTCTCCACTGGTTCACTTCCTAAATGGCAACAACAGCCAGGTCTGGGCCAGGCCAAAGCCAGGAGCCAGGAGCTCCACCCACATCTCCCACGTGGGTGGCAGAGGCTCAAATACTTGGGCCGTCTACCGCTGCCTTCCCAGGTGCATTAGCAGGGAGTCGGATTGGAAGTGGAGCTCACATGGGATGCCAGCATCGCAGGCATCAGCTTAACCCACTACACCACAACTCCCGCCCATGCATTGATTTGTAAGCAGTTTCCTTCTGTTCAAGAGTTTTATTACTTTTCCTCTCTCATTTGCTACTTTCCATTTCTAATGTTTCAGGGCAGAAAACATCTAAGAGCCGGACATTCAGCAGGCTTTGGGTCAGGGACTCCTTTGTTGAGTTTCTTTCACCAGGCCCTGCCTGCCCCCCACCTCCACCCTGCACACGCAGGTGCTGAGAGCTTCCCAGGGCTCATCTGGGAAGGGAGAACCACACTGTTCCCACAGTGTGCGTGAGTTAGCAGCCCCAGGCCTTCTGCCTGGGCTGGGATGAGCTCATTTTCTCTGATTCACGGCCCTGCCCCTGCCCCTGCCTGGTTATCTGCAGCCCCCTGGAAGCTCTTTGGGTCAATGGGGGAAGCTGGTTATCAGCTCTGCCTTCTGAGGCCACAGCATGAGAATAAAAAAAATCACAGAACTGTTTGCATGGTGGGTTCCACTTAGAAGTCTTCCCAAGGAGAGTAGAACCTGTTGTTTTTTTATTTGTTTGTTTGTTTTTTGGTTTTTTTTTTTTAAGTTTATTTGAAAAGCAGAGTGATAGAGAAGGAGGGAAAGAGAGATCGTCCTCTTCTGGTTCACTCCCCAAACACTGGTAACAGTTCATCCTGGGCCAGGCCAAAACCAGGGGCCAAGAACCCCCTCTAAGTCTCCCACATGGATGACAGGAACCCAGATACTTGGGCCATCATCTCTGCCTCCCATTAGCAGGGTAGTAGGGGGGAAGCAGAGGCGGGACTCAATCCTAGGCACTCTGATGTGGGGTGTGGGCATCCCAACTGATGGGTTAACTGCCGTACCACAATATCCACCCCATACGGTAGGTACTTACAGACACGCCTTATTTCCTTGTTCATTTGCTCCCATCTGACATTAGCCAGGGTTTAGTTGTTGTGATAATTTACTAACTAATAAGGCATTTCCTTCCATCATGAATATTCTCAGCGCACTGCAGTAGCATCAGCAGAACCTGTGTCTTTGTCCCCAGCGGGAATCACTGACATCCAGACATCACAAGTCAGCGCGGGGTCCAGCAGCCTCTGTGCTCGTCACTGTCAGTGTAACCGTGGTCACCACGTCTGCCGTTGTCCTTGTTCTGCAAACAGAGGCACGTTTATTGTTGTCCCAAATTTGGTTACCTTTTCAGTATGTGAATAATCCCATTTTGCGATCCTTGCTTTGCTTTCCAATCAAGTCTCTTTCTTTCGGCTTTTGGAAATACTCTTCCAAGAAAGGGTACGTGAGACCCCATCCTGCTCAAAAAGATATGTGCATGGCACAAAAATAATTTTGACCCCCGGACCAGATGAAATTCATTTAATTTTCTTTTTTAGAGACAAAGAGATCTTCCATCCACTGTTTAACTCCCCAACTACTTGAAACACCGGAGGCTGGGCCAGGGTCTCCTGCATGGGTGGCAGGAACCCAACTAGAGCTGGGACTCTGAGTATGGGGTGTGGGCATCACCACTGAGCCAAACACCCACCCCCGAGGTGAAATTCTCGAAACCAAGTCCAGGCAGTGTGGCTGCTTGACTGCTGTGTCTGTTTCTGCACCAGGCCAGCCCAAAGGCACCTGCTCCAGGAGCCTGGCCCAGGTCTACTAGAGATGCTGTTCTGGGAGTCGCAGAGGCAGTACCTGTCACCAGTTTCCCTGCATAACCCAGATGGTGTGTAAGCTGCTGTGCACACTGTAGAGTGCCAAGTCCATGGGCAGCATGGTCAGCAGTGCCACCCCTGAGCCAGCTCCCAGCCCAGCCTGCTCTGGGGCAGGGCTTCCCCACCTGACCTGGTCCCCTGCATCTCCCTGTCCCTTGAGCCCACACAAGGCCTCAGCTTGCATCTGAATTATGGAAATAACAAGCTGATGATCATTCATGTACCCAAGGCTCCCAAATTCAACTCTTTTATTTTTTAAGGTTTATTTATTTATTTGAAAGAGAACAAGAGAGGTCTTCCATTCGCTGGTTCACTCCCCAAATGGCTGCAATGGCTGGAGCTGGGCCAGTCCAAAGCAAGGAGCCAGGAGCGTCTTCTGGGTCTCCCATGTGGGTACAGTGTCCCTAGGACTTCATCCATCTTCTACTGCTTTCCCAGGCCATTAGCAGAGAGCTGGATCAGAAGTGGAGCAGCCGGGACCTGAACCGGCACCTATATGGGATGCTGGCACTGCAGGTGGTGGCTTTACTGGCTGTGCCACAGCACCAGCCCCACCAAATTCAATTCTTATGCCCCCTTGGGAACCACAAACTTCTTAGGGATGGGACCTCCAAGATTCCAGAGCCCTATCTGGGCTCAGAGAAACCCCCAGCTAGACTTGATCCAGGTTCTTCCTGCATAGAATACAACCGAGGGGAAGGGAAGCTGGATGGTGCAACAGGTTAAGCCACCACCTGTGACTCACATCCCATATGAGTGCTGGTTCAAGTCCTGGCTGCTCCACTTTCCACCCTGCTAACACTCCCAGGAAGGCAGCGACGATGCCGCAAGTGCTTGAGCCCCTGCCACCCATGTGGGAGACTGAGAATGGAATTCCAGGCCTCTGCCTTCAGCCTGGCCCAGCCCTGGCCATTGCAGCCATCGGGGGAATGGACCAGCAGGTGGAAAATCTCTGCCACTCTGTCTTTCAAATAAATGAAGTAAATCTTAGAAGAAGAAGAAAAAATTTAACCAGGAGACAGAGAGTAAGCAGAAAAGCAGGATTTATTGAAAGGCAAAGGAATAGCACACAGACGTGAGTTTGGGCAACCTCATGAGGGACAATTGCCCTCACCCAGGCTGGGCTTATCCCTTTTATAGGGTATGGGTGGCACTCGGGGCAACGCTTGACTAAAACCCAAGCAAGGCGGGATTTGGGGTGCAGCGGCAGTGCCTGTGGAGCCTCCAGAAGCTGTCAGGCATCTGTTGCCTGAAGGGAAGTGAGGCTTGGCTGCATGATGAGGAATGGGGCCATCTGATCTCCAGCCATGTTGAATGGGCGTGGACGGTGATGGGATTTGGGCAGTGCCTATGGCTTGAGTGTCAGCAGTCAGCTCACTGTCCCTCACTGACTCCCTGCCTAACCCACATCAGCGTAACAGGACGGATAGAGTCTTTCAGTTCTCCCATCCCCAAGTCCTGTCTGATAGTCCAGGACGGGTTGAGTGCCTCCCTTGGCAAGGAGTCACACAAACCAGTGATAAGGAAGATGACTGTCTGGGGGTGGGGGATTGCCCCTCTAATGGTCCCCAAGGCCCCTGGGAGGCTTCTGTGTTGACCTGGGCTGGCAGGAGCGCCTGCAAGCAGCATCAGGCTTGCACCAGGGAGTTGCTTTTCACCTGTCTGCCAGCAGGTGCGCAAAATCACCCGCCGTGA